TCTCTCTCTCTCCTCCTCCTCCTCCTCCTCCTCCTCCTCCTCCTCCCTCCCTCCCTCCCTCCCTCCCTCCCTCCCTCCCTAGCTCCTCCCTTCCATTCCTCAACCGTCCGACAGAAATTTTCCCAGTACCATTCCAACCCGCCTCAGAGGAATCTAGTCCCTTACTGAGACTTTCGGCCCGGCGGGACCGGGCCCGACCGGATCTCAAACCTGAAAATATTTTTGAAATTTAATATCGAATTTCAAATAATTTGAACTAGCAATTCGGAGGCCGCAAGAGATACCCGCAGATTGTACCGCAAGGACTGCAGGGGGTTATTTTTAGAACGCTTTTTAATGGTTAGTCTTTCTTGGGGGTGGGGGTACTGTTTATGGTCGTTTGCAAGGGGAAAGAACAGCGTTGAATGGGGGGGTAGGGGTGATCAAGAACCCCTGGAATTCTAACATAAACTCTGGTACAACGAGGGGTGGAGAGAGAGGCGGGGGTTGGGTGTAGAAGGTCTTAACCGGCTCTGAAACTGATTTACTTGCAAATTGAAATGGATAAGGAATATTTGAACAATGCCGAAATTGGTTTGGAAAACGTTGCACAAACATGGTGAAGCAGAGGAGCGAGCGCAAGGGATGGAGGGAGAGGGGATGCGGCCCCTCAAGTCGCTCATGCTCAGAGCATGATACCTCTCCTGTTACTTCTCCTCTGCCAGCCCCATGGCCTCCCTTCGCTCTCACATGCAGTGACGCGAATAGCAAAGAACGCAGAACAATTTCGAACATGATGTAGTTTGCTAGTTCGTGACTGAAGCAACGTAGATTGATGCAGCTTGTTCCTTGAGCATTGTCTTTGATATAGGTGACACCATTGGGTAATGAAGCATTGGAACCTGATGAATGAATACGGACTCGAATACGAGGAATAGTTAGATATATCTTTGCATTTCAGGTCGTATGTTAGCATATCTGTTCAGACAAGATGAAGTTTTCTTTATCCTTTGAAAGCTTGGTTTGGTCATTAAGTTAATAACGTGCATTTGCCAGGTTTAGTATATGAGCTATGGAAAGAAGTGAGATTGAGCTGTGAAGAGGATTTCTTGGAGCGATCATCAGCCTTGAGAGATGGAGGGAGGGAACGAATCTTGCTCGGTTCTGATCAAGTCAGACCCGCCATACATTGTCAAGCAAGTTTCACCGTCATGGACAACTTTCTTTGGGTTTAAACAAGATTTCGTGGTGGGCAAGTCGTTGAAAATATGTCAAGGGCCGTCGACGAATTTCCAGATGTTGCAGGAGATGATAGAGACTGCGATAAAGAAGCCTGGGGAGTGTCCGATGAGTCTGTTGACCTTGTACGACCAAGCGGGCGACGAGGTCAGCCTGAATGTGCGGGTCAGTCTCGCAGGAGAGGAGGAACCCAGCAGGTATAACGTGCTGCTGTCCATGTTCGAACCTCGCCTGGACGCGCCTGATCACGATGCTGGGAGCGTGTTCGATTGCTTGACCGCATGCCGGGCCCTGCAGAGTCGGGCGGGGAGTCTGATGAAGCAAGGGGAAGCAAGCAAGGACACGCTGGATGGATACCTTAGGACGTTGGAAGCCAAGGACAACGAGCTGCACATGATCGAACTCGATCTGAGACGCGCCAAGGACGAAGTCGCGGCGAAGGTGAAGGTCGTGCGGGATGAGCAGACGTTGATCGGCGAGTATCAAGCGAGGGCTGAGGAGCTGTGTGCTGAGTTGCAGCTCATGGAGCGAGAGGGCAGCAGCGCGAGTCTGCACGGTGAGAAGCTTCGAGCCATCTCGGAGGAGCTTCAGAGTTTGAGTCTCGACCCCTGTGAACCTCCCTTCGGCGAGGGCGAAGTTTCCGCCCCCGCCCTCCGTGCTCGTGCTGAGGAGATCAGGGAGAGAATAACTCGCCTCCTGTGGGGGGCGGCACTGGAAGACTGCTTCTCTGACGCCTCCACCATCTCTAGCGGTTCCATGTCCTCCACGAGCTCCTTCGACTCTTACTCCTCCTCGAGTTCGCTCTCGTCCTCGAGCACTTCAGGAAGCAGCCAGAATCGCGCGTTGCTCGCGCATCTCAAAGCCATGCGTAAGTTCCGGAAAACTAGTGAGAAAGCGTGAGAGGGAAGAGCTTGGGCTGGAGCAGGACTATTTTTTATCAGAAGAAAAGCTTTACGTTCGTTAACTTCGCCTCCCGGTCCTCGTCCTCCTTCACCCGACGGTGTACTCGATCACTCCCGCAAAGCCTCCGGGCTGATGCCGTCAGCAGCGTCGGGAAGGCGTGGGAGAGTCACCTGGGGGAGGGCGACGCCCTCAAACTCTTCGAAGAGCATGGCGCCGATGGAGAGCCCGCAGCGAATCTCGAGATGCTCGTTGCTGGTGATCTCTGAGCCGCAGCGGTACGGCTGAGGCCCGTCCTCGTCCTCGTCCCAGAACTCCATCGTCCCCCCCGCTCCTGCACCCTCCCGTCAGAACGGAGATGGAGAAAGCGGAGGAGCGACGCAGCAACAGGGGCCGTGGGGGCAGGTGCTTACCAGCGCCAACGCTCTGGACTAGCCCGTACAAGTCGTTGGTGTGGAGGAGGAAGCTTCGCACAGAGTTGGGGGGGATGCGAAGGGGCTGCTGCAGCGGGAGGCTCCCGTACTCGGGATTTGTGTCTGCCCAGCTGACCATGGGCAGGCTGACCTCCTCCTCACCCACCTGGCAGCTCATCGTGAGGCTTCGCTCGGGTCCCTCAAGCTCACCAGCTCCCATGCGGAAGGATTCAGCTCCTTCCCCCGCCCCGTCCCGCTTGTCGTCAGCACCTTCATCCGCACAGCTTGCCCCTGCTCGCCCCGTCACGCCTCCCACAAGCGTCTCCTCCTCTCTCTCCTGCCCCCAGTTGAGCCCCGGTGATGATGCGCTCCGCAGCCCCGTGATGACGATCGGCTGGTCCTGCGATGCTTCAGAACTCCCCTCCCTCCCTCCTCCTCCTCCCCTTCCCCCTCCTCAGGGCCTCCTCTCTTCTATCCTCATCCTCACTTTCGTCTTCACGTCAAACCAAAGTCCAAACCCACACGCTCCTGTGGTGACAGGCGGCGTCTTGAGCGACCCTGCTTCCCTCGGTCAGCGACTGCCCAGCTCTGCCAGCAAGTGACCAGCAGCTGCTGAGGCAAGAGGACGAGAAGCTGCGCGAGCTGGAGGGGAGGAGGAGACGGAGGTGGAGCCTGCAAGAGAAGCCTCTTCGAAGATCTCCAGCGGCACCTGCTCGTCATCCTCCACCTGCAGCTCGTCAACATCAGGACGGGAGGAGCATACGCCTCACCGATGGAGGGACAGACGAGAGGAGCTGCAGGGCCGGAAAGAGGCAGGAGGAGGAAGAGAGTCAGCGAGGGCCAAGCCAAGCAACGGCCAGTCACGTGGAAGACAGCAGCTTCAAGGTCAGCGGCTGCGGCTGCGGCTGCGGCGATCGACGCTGGCTGGAGCTGGGAGTCAGGCGGACTTGGTAGGAGGAGGCGAACGAACCGAGTAGGAGGGAAAGAGGTTGCCTAGCTCGCGTATGATCTCCTCCTTGTTGCTCCCCTGCTGCCTCCCGACTGCCCGCGAGCTTGTCGCTCCCATCAGTTGCCTCCATTCCGACTCATCCAGCAGCCCCTGGGCTCACGATGAGACGAGCAAGCGGCTGTGAGCAGCCAACACCTCTTCCTCCACCAGCTGCTGCCGCATCTCCTCCTCGAACTTCATGTCCTCAGCTTCAGCTCAGCTCGCAAGCCCCTCACCTGCTCCTTCACTCGAGCTGCAGCCATGGGCGACGTCTCTTGCCGCACTCGCCGCGTTATCCTTCTTGCCACCACAGTAGCGACCGCCATCGCCTCCTCTCTACGCGCACGTGAGTCGCTCGTGGCTGTCTCGGCAAGAGGCTTCACTTGTCTGCGGGGCTCAGAGACGCGAGGGCGGAGATACCGTCCTTCATGCTCCTCTCCGCCTGCTGGCCCGTCAGGTGAGGAGCAGGCAAGCAGCAGCTCTTCCTCTGCCACGAGCTCCAGCGGATCCGCAGGTTCCTCGCTCGACACCATCGACTTGACCTAGAGAAGCAGCGTCAGGTACCATGAGAGTACGAGAGGTAGTACGAGAGGTAGTACGAGAGGTAGTACGAGAGGTAGTACGAGAGGTAGTGGTAGTGTGAACTATATGATGTGTCACCTCAGTCCACTGCTGGGGAGTCAGCAGGCCTTCATCCTTGACGTACTTCGCTTCAAGGTCCTGCAGATACGCTTGCTGGGCTTCCACTCCAGCTGAACTCCCAGCTCGCTTCAACTTGCGCTCAAAGCTGGAGACATGCATCAGCGTCATGGAATACTAAAAATAAAAGTAGGCTGATATGATGATGGAGATGATGATGATGATGATGGAGATGATGATGATGATGATGATGATGATGATGATGATGATGATGATGATGATGATGATGATGATGATGATGATGATGATGATGATGATGATGATGGAGATGATGATGATGATGATGATGATGATGATGATGATGATGATGATGATGACGACGACGACGACGACGACGACGACGATGATGATGATGATGATGGTGCTGGTGCTGGTGATAGACTCTCAGATGATGGTGCTGGTGCTGGTGCTGGTGCTGCTTATGATGATGACAACGATGACGACTACGACTACGACGATGAGAGTTAAGGTGGTGGTGGTGGTGGTGGAGCAGGTGGAGGAGGAGGTGAAAGGGTTCTCAAGGAGGGCAAGCTTTAGGAGGGAGAGGTAAGCAAGGCTGAGGGACAAGAGGAGGCACCTTCTCGTCGTAACGGTCAAAATAGCCATAAGCTCCTCCTGCTCATCGCGGGAGGCGGATGGAGTGACGGAGAGCAGAGCGACTTCCACCTGCTGCCTCATCTGCGAGATTGCGCTGCTCATGCCCAGCCCGACGAGGGCAGGGCGAGAACGCGACGTTCTGAGCTGGACCTTGGGACAGATACCCTGCGAGAGGACGGGGGAGGTGAACATGGTGCGAGGATGAAGGCTCGGCGAGGAGAAGGCGGAAGAGGACGGAAAGTCTGAGAGCTGTGAGGATATGCCAAGAAAAAGTCTAGAGTTACCCAGGAGGAGGAGGACGAGAAGCGTCCAGAGCATCGCAGCAAATCCTGAGAGGAGCATGCAAGTGTCATGCAAGTGAAAGCACACTGACGAGTTCCCATCTTTACACATCGCTTGCTTCTGCTCTGCTTCTACCCCCGTCGCCTCTTTCTCCCTCCCTCCTCCTCTCCTCTCCTCTCCTCCTAGTTCCATTAGATCTTCCATGGCCTCCTCTCTCGCTAACTTGCTGTCGCGGTTCTGCCCCGGCCGGGCCGGGCCGGGGGCCGGGGGCCGGGCGCGGCCCGGCGGCGGCCCAGGGCCCCCGGGTCCGGTCGGACCGTCCGACGGTCACCCGGTGGCACTCCGCACGTGGGCGGTGATCACTGGCAGCGGCCAGTCAGGAGTGATCGGCCGTTTTGCTCAAGACCGAGTTTAATGCACACAAAACCAGAATTGAGGAGCACATGGAAGATAGATTGTATGCTAGGATGTCGGAAACCCAAGCATCCAGACAGTAAGTCGTCTTGGTTTACAGAAGAGTATTTGTTAACTCGGCGCTATCTGACTGGCACGGCTGGCATACGTTCCTACACTGTCAGGTGACCGGACGGTTGTACAGTACTCCGACCGTACGGCGATGCTCAGTATGGCAGGCTCAGTACCGTAGTACCGGGTAACTTGCCAACGGAAAGTCACCATTTCAAGTTGGCAGCCTGGCACAACGCCGGGAGTCCGAGTCGGACCCGGTACTACGCCAGGCCCTCATGATCGGACCGTGATGAAAGTTCAGTGATTGTATAATACTTACAGCCCAGGCGGCCGGGCCCGGGCCGGCCTCCGAGCGGTACGGTCCGTGCCCGTCGGTAGCCGGCATGACTCACGTCTCCATCTGTTGAAAAGACTCGATTTCGATGGGGTTATGCCGATCTCGTATGGTTGAAAGACTTCATTTCGATGGGGATATTTCATTCGAGGTAGGGGTAGTTTCCCCTCATTCTAGAGCTTCTTGGGGTGGGGTGGCGGGGCAGAGTTATTGCAAGCTCTGATTGGCCCTCCCCCAGCAAGTTCCCCGCTCCCCATGCCGCCTCCCGCTCCTCGTCCTGCAGTCTACGTTCAACCTCGTCCAAGAGAAATCTTCTGCTCCTCTGCCCTACCAAGCGTAGAAGTATCTCCGACGGTCTTGGAAGCCTTGTTTCATCTCCGCCAGGAAGACGCTGCTTCTGCCCTGGTAGGCCACCTTGAGTTCTGTTGTGGCGCTGACTTGTTGGTCATGACATCAGGGCATATCACTCACAAGCTTCAAGAGCGCATGCCGAAAGATAGGAGTGTCAAGATGGCCATACGATCGATGGGAACCAGCAGACGACGACAGCTTGCGGAAGCACAGGAGGAAAAAGCGAGCAAGCAGGAAGATCAAGGAGGAGGCGAACGCAAGTCCGAAGGATGGAGACGAGGCTGAGCCCGTTGCTCTGCTTCCATTCGACTCAGTCGCAGCAAAGACTCAAGGGGAGGAAACAGAGATCGAAGACGGCTCGAGCACAGATTGGTTGCAACAGATTAACGAGAGTTCAATAGAAGCAGAGCAGTGTGGCTTGAGCGCCGAGTCCTGCTTCTTTCAAGACGACCTTGTCTTCTATCCCATTTCCCAAGAAGACCGTGATCATCAATGGATGCGATACTTCCTGCAGAGCTAGACCCAATGTCTAAGAACTGCGTAGCTCTCAACCAAACAATATTTCTATTTCGTGTGCTGACCATATCTAGTAATCTCTCAAGTCTTGTGTTTGTTGTCGCATTTCAATCTCAACAAGATCTTTGTCTCATGCTGTGTATAAACCAATGAATATTCTTCTAGCTTAACTGTAACTTCTCGCTCCCCTCTCGTTCCTCTTCGTGCTCGCTGCTTCGTGCTCACTGGATATCAGTCGACCCATGTTGGCAGGGGCATGGGGTAGTACTGGTACCTGCAGGCTGCGGTCACTATCACCTCCTCCTCTCCTCCCACAAACCTCTCGAAGTAGCTCAGGTAGTCATCGATGGCCTTGCGTCGCATGAGGAAGACGATGCCCCGGTCTTTGTACGAGAAATCTCCTGCTCTCAATCAGCCCTCTCCAGTCAACGTCGCATCCTCCATACCAACAGCCATGAGGTCGCCCGAGTCTCGTCCCGTCCGCTTGTTCGCTCGATCCGTACTCACTGGGTTGCCCCACAGCGGCTTCCCGGTCACGTCGTTGCCTAGTGCTCCGCCAGACGTCGAACCGTCTGGAGCCAAGGTGAAGGGGCAGGAGGGCGAGAATAAGAGAGAAGCGAGGGAGGGGATGAGAAGGCGAGGACGGCTCGAGGGAGCAGGAGCTACCTCCAGGCCGGAACTTGCTGCCCTTCTCGTTTGTGGCTGGGAGGTACTGTGAGGCGAAGGAGCGGGCCTGTATGAGGGTCAGCTCTTGGACCCCCAGCCTCCTCGTGGGTCCGCGCCTGCTTCAGGTAGTCGACGCTGACTGGGTCCACGTCCCCCGTAGGACCCGCACACGCAACCTCAGTGCAGGGCCCCTGGTTGCAAACTCCGTTGGAGTCCACGTAGTTGGGACAGAGCTGGGCAGCTGCGGTCAGGCGTGCGGAGGGATCGCCAGGCGGCCCCTCACCTGATAGGTCGAGCGAGGGATGGAGAAGTAGCCCGCGTAGACTGTGCTGGAGGTCGAGGGAACCCACGCGCCTCGGACAGACTCGGACAAGCTGTACTGATAGTCCGACTTGGACATGTCGTGAAGCGTGTTCCATCGACTTCGACACGAGCAGTCTTGCGCGTAGACGCCTGGGTCCGTACTGCAGTAGGGCAGACCAGTCGAGCTGCACAGGCACGACCCGTTGCTCGGCAGGTTGATCCCTCCCCCGCAATACCCGTAAGGATCGTATGCATCCCCACCCGCTGCGGTGCCGTCGTTGGTCCCCTCGAACATCCATCTGTTGTGTCAAGTCAGCACGGAGGAGCAGGAGGAGCAGGCGTACCGCACGGGCTCGTACCCGTAGGCGCTTGACAGCGAGGTAGTCGCGAACCGATACTTGTCGACTCTCTTGGCACTGCCCAGGTCGAGGATGAGAGGAGTCAGCTCGTAGTAGTCGCAGGTGGCCCCGTTGTTGGACTGCTCGTAGAAGGAGGAGGACCCGCAGCTCACGGAGTTGGAGTCGCAGTACTGGCCAGGGAGGGAGGGGCAGGAGATCTCCGAGCCGGGGGACGAGGGGCAGTTGTCTATCGCCAAGTTGGGCGAGTTGGACAGCACGGGCTTCACCGTTTGCGAGGTCACGCTTGACGAGACCGGGGCAGGAGCGTAGGGGTTGGTGGCTGCGGAGACTGACAGCCGCTGCGGGGGCTGGGTCGAGTCGCTCGCGTCTTGGAACAGCTGGATCTCCTGGATCGACCAGCCGCCTGCGATGCAGCAGCCGGTGCAGGCAAAGCCCGGGCTGTACCAGCGCGACGTCCAGCCGCTGGTCGCCTTCATGACACGGAGTCGATAGTAGCGGTAAGAGGCTGCGGGAGGAACGATCCAACTGCGTCGACACGCCGTCGGGTTGTTGCCGGTAGAGCTGAAGGCCCCATACCCCTGCCCGCTGTACCCTGAAGTGTATCCGGCTTGAGCGTAGCCTGTCCAGTACTGCCCTTGTTGGATGCAGTCGATGACCGCCAGCTTGTTCGTCCCGTCGTAGTGCAGCACGCGAGCAGACTGAGCGACGCCCACGCCCGATGTGATGGCCACGTACCAGTTGCGGTAGACGTTGTCAGTGGAGGAGGCCAGGCTGTCAAGAGTCAGGGTGGCGCAGCGGCGGAGGATGCCTCCCTGCTGGATGCTGATGGAGGCCTGAAGCTTCGCGTCGAGCTGCGCAGAGGCAGAGATACCAGAGTTCAACACCCCAGTGTCGGAGATGATGTTGATCGCCGCGCCTACCGCATGAGCAGCAGCGACTGAGCCAGACCTCGCTCGCCGAGTCGTCAGGTTGTTCCCCTGGACTCCCACCACCTCCAGGATCTCGTCGTCTATCAGGATGTACGACCCGCTCGCGATGTTTGACGCGTCGGCTGCCACTACGGTTGTGAACCCCTGGCAGTCAGTCACCTGCGAGGGGTACCCGTACCAGGGGCCGTTGGTTCGAACCTCGTAGCGCGACGTCGTCGTCGGGTAGGCGCCGAAGCTGCTGGAGACGGTCACGAAGCGATCGGCGTTGTAGCCAACGATGTCGCGGACGTCCGTGAGGTTGTAGGAACCCACGCCCGAGGATGGAGACGTGGTGGTCGTCAGCTGGAGCGAGAACCCGATGTAGATGCCGTCAAAAGGCGCCGCCGAGCTGTCGAGTTTCATCACAGTAGAGCTCGCGACTGCTGTGATGGTTCCTGAGTCGATGACGCCCCCGGGACAGCTAGCGGGCAGAGCGACTTGCAGGGTCGTCGAGTAGATCCACTGCATGGTTGTTGCCAGCCCTTGCGCTTCGCCTCCTAGAGTACCAGCGTACCACGAGCACAAGAGCCCGCTGCTGCACTCGCAAGCAGCCGAGCAGTAAGCCCCCAGGTTGTCTTGACCGTCATGGCAGTTTCCCGCCCACGTCGATGAGGCCTGTTGGTCTCCGAGCTGGCAGTCAGCGTCAGCGTAGCAGCTCTGACCGTTGAGGTATCCTCCGTTGCAGTAGCAGCCCGTCGCTTCGGTGCTTGACTGCACGTACCCGCTGACGCCGGGCAGTCACGCGTCACCGTCACGCGTCACGATCACGTTCCTAGTCGCTCACCTGTTGTCTGTCGGGGGGCACCTGAAGTTGTCGTCGCAGTGCTTGCGGTGCAGGGCCCACTCGTTGTGGAACTCGCTCCCGTACCCGAACTGACTGCTGTTGTACCTGCTCCTCCCGTCAGACCCTCTCCAGCCTCGCGCTGCCTCTCAGTGACCCTTTGCCGGTTCCCGACGGCTGTTCCCCGGGCCCGAAGACGTAGCCGGGTTTGTTGCGGACGTAGACGTAGAGCTCGTCGGCGTAGAGGAGGCCGCGGGAGACGAGGAGACACGAGGAGCTCGAGTTGAGGTACGTCTCGCAGGTGCTCAGGTACACCTCCCGTAACGGCTCACTCAACGGCGGGGCTCAGGACCAGCTCACCTGACGACCGAAGTAAGTGTCCGGGCTCTCGTCGATGGCGGAGATCTTCTCCGTGTGCCAGCAGTAGTACTGGATCAGGCTGGTCGCATGCACCGACACCCACGGCACCTCCCTTCCGTTGTACTCCACCTTGCCGCAGGTCTCAGCTGGGGTCACTGGGTACTCGTGGGGCCTCCCCGAGCTGAGAATCCCCTTCACTTGCCCCCACACATTGGAGCAGTTGAGAGGCGAGTAGGGGGCGCCGCATGCTGCCCCGCTCGTGGCGTACTGGCTTCCATTCATGCAGCACAGGTTCTGCTGGAAAAGGTACACTGACCCGTGGTTCCGGCTGTCGTACGACTGCCCTGCACAAGGTGTCAGCCGTTCCTGGCGTCTCCTTGCCGCTACCGTAGGTGACTGAGCTCGTGTCCCCGATCGCTCCCACCGCGAGGATGTAGTCCTGAGCCAACGTCACCCACCCCCTCCAGCAAGCCGGTCCAACTTCTTCGTTGGCGTCCCAGAACACGGACACCGAGGCCCCGAACTGTTGGTTGTCCCGGCAGCAGGTCCACAGCAGCACGTCGATGTTCTGCCCCCCGCATGTCGTCGTGCATTTGCCTGTGCCTGGACACTGAGGGTGCATGAGCTCAGGCACGTCCCTCCCGCTGCTGGGGAGACGCACCTGGGCATCGGACACGCAGCTGTTTCCCCCGTTGGATCCTCCCGAGCAGATCCCTCCCGCCAGGTTGCAGTCGCTGTCGCTCGTACACATCACTGACCCGTCGGTCCCGCACACCCCCTGCACGCTGTTTCCGCACCATCGCCCCCCCAGGTGCTCGTACCCTACCACCCGTCAGGCCCTTCCCCCCTCCCTGCTCTCTCACCGAGCTCGTTGAACCCTCCCGTCGGTTGCGGCACAACCTCATTCACGTACATCCACTGCCGCCATGCCCGTCAGAACCCTGCTACCCTCCCTCCCCCCCCCTCCTTTGCCCTCCCATCGCCAGCACCTTGTTGTCTCCGTAGTTGCGGTACAGGAAGACCTTCCCCGCGTTTTGCTCGAGGGACCAGAGGGTGCAGTAGGAGCCGTCCTGGCATCGGTTGACCTGGCAGTAGTCGCTCCCCGCACAGTCGGAGTCGCTCAGGCACTCGCTGCGCGATATGTTGCACCTCCCGCACGTGCTGCCGTCGTAGCAGCGGCCTTGGCATCGGTTGTTGCCGTTACAGTGAGGACAACCCACGGCGATGTAGTCCTTGCTGATCGAGACGCTGATCCCAAACAACTGCGAGAGAAGCTCAGGGCAAGGAAGGGAGGGAGAGAGAGGAAGGGAGGGGAGAGAGATGGGGGGAGAGGAGGGAAAAGAGCGGGGAGGAAGGAGGCGGGGAGGAAGGGAGGGAGGGGAGGGGGCAAGAGGGAGGGGAGTGTAGGGGGAGGGATGTAGGGGGAGAGATGTAGGGGGAGGGTCTTCAACCTGATTGTTGTGCGTCATGTGAGTACTTTGGCTCATTCCGAGAGCCTTGTTGGTACATATGACGCAGGATGCCCCCGGGCAGTGCCCGTTCCCGTAGGCGTCAGTCTCTGATCCGCTAGAGCACGCCGAGGTGTTGGGACTTTGATTTCCTGCATGGTTTGAAGTGAGCATGAGGGAGGTACAGGAGTCAGGAGGAGGATGCTCGTCTCATCTCACGCATCAGCTCAGCTTCACCTGGTGTTGTCACAAACTTCGCGACTTGTCCCCACTGGTTGGTCCCCCCGAAGTCTTTCTGGAAGACATACACGGCCCCCCCGTTAGAGCAGTCTCCTGCTTCTCCTTCCCGCACTCCGAACACATAGTTCGTGCCGCATCGTCCCGGCACCGTCTGCTTCGGCGCTCCCACCACCAGCGTGTCTGTCTCACCGTCGAAGTCGATGGTTGCTCCGAACCTGTCCCCGTCCGACAAGTCGCTAGGCTGCAGCTTCACTCGCTGCCCCCAGAACTCACTCCCGCGAACGGTGAAAGGAACTGTGTATCTGCATGTGCCGTTGGACGGGCAGGGATCGCTCGACGTGCAGGCTTGCCCGTCCTCTGATGAGTTTGTGCAGTCTGTGCAGAACCCTCTGTTGGTTTTGCAGATGAAGCCCTCGCTTTCGCAGTATGTGAACTCCTGATTCGAGTCAGGATAACCTGATCCAACACACTCAGCGATCGATGTCTGCTTGACAGTCTTGCATGTTACCTCCATAAGTTCCAGTGTCTGCTGTGTCACTCCACCGGTAGTACGGAGACGTGACGTAATCCATCTCAAAGATGTAAACTGCTCCTTTCCCAGGAACGTTG